TTCACGCCTATTAATTAAAATTTGGTTTCAAATCCCCAAAGGTTCATAAAATCATAGTAAAAAAAAAAATCAGTCTCAGATTTTAAGTGTCGCGCTAGACAAGTAAAAAACGCAATTAGAAGCATGACAAAAAAATGAATTAAACTGATTTATTTTTTTAATGTGTAAAAACGTGTTGTCATTAACAAGCGTCCATGAATTAACGTGATCATTTGTTCAAAAGTTTAAAAAAACTTTTTATTATAATTTTTATTGACGTCAGTCTTGAGTTAAGATTTTTTAAAGTTTAATAATTTTAGAGTTGCATAATAATAAATATCGTACTTTAAAATTAGTTAATAACATTTTTCTAATAAAAGATTTATTAATACTCTCAGTAAAATAAATTAGCAGGTAAAATAAATTGAAAATAACAACAAAAATAATCAAAAATAAAGCAATCAAATGTGTTATTTATGTTATATTTCATAAAACGTAAAAAAAGATAACACAGGTCTACAAAAAATTTATTGCATTAAATTTGACACTTGTTCTTACATAATTTTGATACGCTGAATTCAAATCTGGAATTCATTTTTTATGGAAAGCTACAGATTTTTTGCAGTTTATATTTTTTTAATTTTGCAAAACAGTAGAAATAGTTCTAAAATACAGACTTGAAACTCATTTGGAAATGCTAGGATATACTTTTTAGAATAAAAGTTGTTTACAAAACTAAAACAAAACACCATTTTAATGTCACCGTAAGTTTTTTGCAAATAAACAGAATGACCAATTGGTACAAAACCAAAAATATTTCCATTGTGCAATATAACGCATTTGAGGCTTCGCTTTAAGCTATCGATAAAAAGTCTCCATTCTGCTGGATTATATATAGAAATACCCAACTGTAGTAGGAGACCTGAAATATCATGACAGTAAACAAATAAATTGACTTCTAAAAAAAAGTCAACAAAAGTTTCATCTCTTGTTCTAAAATAAGATACTTTTGCAAAGTTATCAAGTAGGTTTTTTTCTTTTAAACGTGACGCTAATATTTCTGCTGCTTGTTTAGAAGTCATTCAGTTCTATCTGACTAAAACACTGAAGCAAACTGAATTGTTTTGCATTAGATGAGAAGTCTTCCAAATCTGGTAAAAATTCTTCTGTTTCTGTAGCAGACACGCTTTGCTCATCTTCTGACAAAAATAAACCTTTGAAAATTGGAAATCTTGTTAGTATGTTGAATTGGTCTAATAGCAGAAGGAATGTTGGGATAAGTTATTTTTTGTCTCTTAATTTTGCCAACACCACTAGTATCAACAAGACAAAAATAGCAGTCATCAATATGATTTAGTGGTTCACTCCAAACCCTAGGGACTCCAAAAGGTAAATTATTTCTTTTTCCTTTTGTCTAATCTCAAAGACATTCTTCACAAATATGGCATAAAGTATGTGGAGCCCACTTTTTGTCTTGATCACCAAGTTTAATATCGAAATACAATTCATATGCTAATTTCACAAAATTAGTAATGTTTTGTCTTTGTTGAACAAATGCATATCAACCACATATATAACAAAATGAGTTAGATTATGCTTGCACTTATGTCGATTTGAAGAAGCCATCATAATATATATTTGATCTAATAAAAACAATGAGATGGTTACTTTTTTTATAACTATTGAATAAAAATAGCTTTGAAAAAACATAATTTTTAAAAAAATGATAATTTGAGAATTGCAAAAAAACTAGAGCTTACCAACAAAAACGGACCTTATAATTGGAATCAGTGTTTAAATATACATAAAAATAAATTTCAATATCTCATGCAACAGAAAAAAAGTTATTTTTTGTAGACCTGTGTAATTAAATATTATAATATTATTAATTATTAACTAATATTTATAAATACAAAATTCTTTTTTTAATTTACAAATACAAACTTTATGTAGAAATTTAATGAATGTAAGGTAAATTGAAATAATAGTAATAATAATTTTGTATTTAAATACATTTTTTTTAAATTTAAATACCTAATTTATTAGATATTTAAAATACACCAATTAAATTAAGTTGCTGCCTTCGTGCGGTAAAAGAGTCTCGCTTTGCCCCCGATATGTCTTTGTTACTTATCTAAATTAAAGTAGCATATTGCAACAAAAGTTCTTTTAACAAACATTATATTTGACAGAAATCGGCGAGCCAACCAAGTTTTTCAATTAAAAGTTATTAAGATTACGAAAACTTTCATTTAATTTTCATTTAAAGCTATTGATATAAATAAGTTTTTATTGATTTAATTTTCATTTAAAGCTATTGATTTTAAATAAGTATTGTTCATCATATAAAATATGATGAACAATACAACATTTGTAAAAAGGTTTTTTAAGTATTTTAAAATACTAAAGTATTTAAATATGTATGAAATTGTTTCCTGGGTAACACCCTGATATATATATATATATATATATATATATATATAAATATATACATAGCAAACTAAGCAAAACCTCCGCCCTATGAATGGAGATTGCAGAAAAACACATGTAATTTATAAGATATATAGGTTCAACAGATGGTGTGTGGAAAATTAGATGGACAAATCACAAAACAGTAATCGTTTAAAAACAAAAACTTAAAAACTTAACTACACTTTCAAAATACCTATGGGATACAAAGGATAAGTTAAAAACAACACCCAATTTAACATGGTTCATCATAAAAACACCTGATAAATGGTTCATCATAAAAACACCCCCCCCCCCCGCCTACAACAACATAACTAAAAAATGCCTATTATGCTTATATAAAAAACTAATAATTTTATTGTATAAAAATTGCAAAGAATTATTAAACAAAAAAAGCAAACTAATATCCAAGAGTCGCCATGACAGGCCTTCTCGTAAGAGGCGTGCAATTGGACGCTTTATATGACCACGCATTTAGTTCTTTGTTTTAACAACTTAACCACGGCTCTTTGCAAGTTTCGATAATTAGCGCATTTAAAAAATGCGCTAAAAGAAAACGAAGCAAATGTAAATGCGATTTTATAATTTAATTGATTACATAATTAAAATTAAATTACCACAAAATTTCCTGAGTACTTTAATGCAACCTAATAAAAGCAATTGTTGAAAAAAATATTCAGATTAGAGTTTAAGGCAAAATGAGTACAGAAGCTATCAAAAAATAATTACAAATCTTTTTATGATGGAACTATAATTTCTAATAAAAAAATTATTTACTAAAAAAAAGAATTGCAATAATCTAGAAATAGTTGCATTTGCCAACTATTTTTTATCCCAGGGCATGATGTACCGTTTTTTATTTAATGAACGTTGACTTGCGTATCTTTATTTATTGACATCTAATTTAAGAGATTTATGTCAAACAAATAATTTAAAATAATTTTATTCTAGTTAATAAGTTATCAAATATATCAAAGATGCTTGGTAAATTTATTCAATTGTTATTTTTCAAAAAAACTTTTTTTTTAAACATTTGCAAAGCGCGCGCAAATTAATGATAAACGCACAATAAAAAAAACTTTTAAAAGTGTTTTTAATATGCAAACAAACATTATTTCAGTTTAAGGAAAATATGAAAATTAAAAAAAAAGCATGCACAATTTTATTTATAATGAATTATTTATCATTTGCTTTAAACTTTTAATGTAATTGCTAAAAACAGAAAAGAAACCAAGCTTAAACATTATGATCGCTTTCTTCAATAAAAGAAAGCAATCAAATTGTTTAAGGACGGTTTCTTTTGAAGTTTTTGCAAAAGCATCTATTTTAAGTAAAATTATCATACTTTTGTGAGCGCATGCAAAAACCATGCTAAAACATGATTCCTTTTTTCTATTTATTTTACTTAAAATAAATAGGAAAAATATTGAAAAAAGTAATTATGTTTTGGCATTTTTTAAAAAAAGTCTCTGTAATTGTTTTTTATTTTAAATATGTGTTTTTTGTAATAAATAAAAAACTATTGATCGCAAAATTTTTTAAAAAAACTGCTCAAGTAACGCGCTTGTTTTAAAAAATCTTAATCAAACTGCATAAATTTGCATAAGCAAAATTAAAGAAACGTGATGTTTGTTTTTCTGTCTGTGTTAAAGAAATGCGCTCACATTTGTTGATTTGTTGCACCCTGTATCCTATTAACTTTTTAATAAAATTTTAAATTTGCACCACAAAATTTTATTAAGTTCATGACCCTTTCCCTCACTATAAATCCGCCCTTGTAATTTAACAAGAGAATTTTATTTTTTAATTTAATTTTCATGGGAAGGAATGATAAAGATAATTAGAGCTGTGATTTTTTCTCTTTTGCTTCCAATTAAGTTTAAATTAATATGTTTAAATTAATTAATATGTTTTGATTTTTTTCTGATTTTTCCTTTATTTATTTTATCATTCTTTAAATATTTTACTTTTTTAGTTATATATATTATCTTAAGGATTTTATTCTCTTTTTAGTTTATGGATTGTTTATTTTGTTTTTTTTTAGCGCAGCTTTTGAATGCGCTAATTATCAAAACTTGCAATATGTTGTGGTCAAGTTGTTAAAACAAAGAACTATATGCATGGTCATATAAGGCGTGTGATCGCACGCCTCTTACGAGAAGGCCTGTCATGAGAACAAATTTTTGCTGGATAATCACAAACCAAAACATTAGATTTTTCTGACACATTTTTCTCTTGTACATTTTTCTACAAGAAAAAAATCATACTTTTTACTTGATGATTGCATGTAGCATGAAACTTATAGTTTTAAAAATTATGTAGTTTTATTATATATATATATATATATATATATATATATATATATATATATATATATATATATATATATATATATATATATATATATATATATATATATATATATATATATATATATATATATACATATATGTATATACCTGTAATGCTTAGACAAACCAATAGAATCACAATATTAACGGATATATTTCTTTTTATTGTTTTGTAAAAAACTGTGAAATAATAAAACTTACTGAAATCAGCTTCACAAATCATCTTTATCTCCATCAGAGTGCAGTTAACATCTGATATACCAAATGTTTGATTGGTGCTAGTTATATCAAATCGAATTTCTTGACCTTCAAGATCTATAGCAGAAACTTTACCAACAACCTCATTAACACTGCGATTTTCAAATAATGGTAATAAATTAAGAGTAATATTTACTGGATGATCATTGGTACTCGAGAAGTATAAACTAACATCTTTCTCCAAAAACATCTCATTTGTGTCTTTATCGCCACATCTTATACGTATTGTTATCACAAAGTCTTTGTTGATATTGTAAATTTTTTTCTTGAGAATTAAATTGCTTCCATTAAGATAAAAATTACTCTGATTTCCAACTAATGACCAATTAAAATCTGATGTATATGTAGGGTTCAAAACATCAGGATCAATGGCTAAGAGTACTCCAACTACAGAATTTATTGGTGTAAATGTATTAAATGTGTTTTGAACTATTTTAATATCGGTAGGCGGATCATTAACATTGATAATTTTTATTTTAAAAACATGCTCCATATACATTCCCAAATTATCTGAAACACGAATGTTCACCAAATAGATGCTGTTGTTTGTATTAGCAAGATGAAAAACCTTCATATTTTTTAATTTGTTATTTTCTATATAAAACTGATCAATTTGAGGATTTAAGGAATAAGAGAGTATTTGAGTTGCTTCATCTATCGCTGATAGGGTTCCAATTATAGTACCTATAGGAGCATGTTCCAACAAAATATCAGAAGAGAGAGAAAGGTTTTGAGGTGGGTCATTAGATCTTCGACAATAGTAATTACTAGTTTCTTGATTGTTCCATTTCATAACTCCAGAAACAAAAGTGCATGTAGCAGAATTAACTGCATTAGTAACATTTTCTCCAAAAGGCAAACCAATAATTTTCTTTAGCAAATATTTACTTGGATCACTGCAAGAAAATGTGCACTTGTTACCCTCAGATAAAACTTGAGGACAATTAGAAATTGCTTGTTGACATATGCTTCCAAAGATATCTGAAAATGTTTCTTGGCAAGAGTTTAACACAATTGGAACACATTGTCTTAAAGAACAACTTTTATGATCAGGATTTATCTGATATCCGGGAATGTTGCAACTACAGCTTCCATTTTTTGGATTGCATTTTTGTTCACAATTGTTATTTTCAAAACCACAAGGTTGCGATTCATATCTAATAGAGCAAGATAGACATGCAAATATATTCTTGTATGTACTCTCACGTTTTATCTGACCAGTATGACATGGAGTGAGACGATCACACACACTCCATGTTGACCATTCTTCCCATTTGTCTAAAAAAACAATATGCAAAAAATGCACAATTATTTCTTTGTAATATAATGAATGTCTTTATGAATGATAAAAGAAAAAATATATTACAAAAATAGTGTAATGTGTTAAACAACATGTTGACAAAAACAGTTTTTAATTTCTGTTATTTGCCAAACTAAAATAAGAAATTAAAAGTATCTTCAACTAAAAGTAGAAAACAAGTTTCCAGAAACAAAAGAAAATTGCTGGTGAAATGATGTTTATAAAATTGTAGAGTAAAAAATAAAATTTTATAAAAAGCAGAAAAACTCTGAGAATGATGAAAGGCACCTATATTGTGCGGTTCCAAAGGCAGAAAAACTCTGAGAATGAAGAAACTTATATTGCTTAGCTAAACTCAAAACTCCAAAAAACATAATGATTCAGAATAATAAAAAAACTGATACTAATGGTCATTCTAAAAAAACTGATATTAATGGTCATTCTAAAAAAACTGATATTAATGGTCATTTTTAAAAAAACTGATATTAATGGTCATTCTGAAAAAACTGATAGTAATGGTCATTCTAAAAAAATAAATAATGAAATGCACTGACACAAAGGTCAAAACAGTTTATAAAATATCATGACATCCTTTATACAGCTTATAACGTAATTGAGGTTAAATTATTTTAACCACCCATTTTCAATTATATTAATTTATTTTTTTATTTTTACTGTATTCTCTAAAACCAAGAGAGCCACTACATTTGAGAAAGCTACTCATTTTTTTAATTTTTTTTTTTTTTTAAACTCTCTCAATTACTTAACTTTAAAACACATCTCTTTAAAAGATCCTCAAGGTCCCAAACCAAGATGTGTTCACATATTAAATAAACCTTATAAAAAAACAAATGCAATGATAAATTTTTTATTTAAAAAAAATTTGGTCTAATTTTTATCTTTAACATCAACAAAAGCGGGTGTAAAAGTGAAACTATATCTTTAGTTTTGGATTTTTCAATTTTTAATCTGGTAAAATAAACCATTATTAAAATAAACCTTAATTTTAGAAAAAAATATTTTTTAAAGAACCTCGATAAAAAATTACATGAAAAAAAAAAATGAAACATTGTGAAAAGTAAAATTGATTTTTTAATTAATATTGGTAATATAACTTATCAATAATATAAATAGACAGTATAAATAATGGATATTAAAGAATAAAAAATGGGTATTTAAAGCAATGATAAATTTTAAAAATAATATTGTTAAAATAATTTTTAAAAATCTAACAATTCTTTAAATACCAATTATTAATACTGTCGTTTATTAAAATTATTGATAAATATATTATTTAATAGGAGAAAAAAAAAAAAAACAGTTAGACCAAATATCTTTTTAATGTAGAAAAATATCATGTATCATTTTTATGTAGAAAAACACCATTAAAAATCTTAATTTTTATGTAGAAAAACATCATTAAAATCTTAATTTTTATGTAGAAAAACACCATTAAAAATCTTAATTTTTATGTAGAAAAACATCATTAAAATCTTAATTTTTATGTAGAAAAACACCATTAAAATCTTAATTTTTATGTAGAAAAACACCATTAAAATCTTAATTTTTATGTAGAAAAACATCATTAAAATCTTAATTTTTATGTAGAAAAACACCATTAAAAATCTTAATTTTTATGTAGAAAAACATCATTAAAATCTTAATTTTTATGTAGAAAAACACCATTAAAAATCTTAATTTTTATGTAGAAAAACATCATTAAAATCTTAATTTTTATGTAGAAAAACACCATTAAAATCTTAATTTTTATGTAGAAAAACACCATTAAAATCTTAATTTTTATGTAGAAAAACATCATTAAAATCTTAATTTTTATGTAGAAAAACACCATTAAAAATCTTAATTTTTATGTAGAAAAACATCATTAAAATCTTAATTTTTATGTAGAAAAACACCATTAAAATCTTAATTTTTATGTAGAAAAACACCATTAAAATCTTAATTTTTATGTAGAAAAACATCATTAAAATCTTAATTTTTATGTAGAAAAACACCATTAAAATCTTAATTTTTATGTAGAAAAACATCATTAAAATCTTAATTTTTATGTAGAAAAACACCATTAAAATCTTAATTTTTATGTAGAAAAACACCATTAAAATCTTAATTTTTATGTAGAAAAACACCATTAAAAATCTTAATTTTTATGTAGAAAAACACCATTAAAAATCTTAATTTTTATGTAGAAAAACACCATTAAAATCTTAATTTTTATGTAGAAAAACACCATTAAAAATCTTAATTTTTATGTAGAAAAACACCATTAAAAATCTTAATTTTTATGTAGAAAAACACCATTAAAAATCTTAATTTTTATGTAGAAAAACACCATTAAAATCTTAATTTTTATGTAGAAAAACACCATTAAAAATCTTAATTTTTATGTAGAAAAACACCATTAAAATCTTAATTTTTATGTAGAAAAACACCATTAAAAATCTTAATTTTTATGTAGAAAAACACCATTAAAAATCTTAATTTTTATGTAGAAAAACACCATTAAAAATCTTAATTTTTATGTAGAAAAACACCATTAAAAATCTTAATTTTTATGTAGAAAAACACCATTAAAAATCTTAATTTTTATGTAGAAAAACACCATTAAAAATCTTAATTTTTATGTAGAAAAACACCATTAAAAATCTTAATTTTTATGTAGAAAAACACCATTAAAAATCTTAATTTTTATGTAGAAAAACACCATTAAAAATCTTAATTTTTATGTAGAAAAACACCATTAAAATCTTAATTTTTATGTAGAAAAACACCATTAAAATCTTAATTTTAATTGGTTTTATATATAAAATTCTATAAAGTATAATATCTGCGTAAAAAACTTGAGATCACTAATTATCAGTTTACTTAAGCGTTATTTAAAATTTTTATAAATAAATAATTATAATAATCAAGCGTTACTTAAAATTTAAAAGCCTATTTATTTATTATATTTATTATATTTAAAAACTATTTACTAGCATTAGGATACAATAATTGATGTTAAGGTTTATTTGAAAATTAAAAATGAAAATAATTCTAAACATTGTATAAATGTTTTCCTTTAAAATGACAAAATACAAAACTAAGAAAGTTATCATCCAGGGCTTGGTTTAAAGCCGGAACAATTATTCAATGTAGTAAAACTTAAACTATTTATAATAGTGGATTTAATGTTTTGCGAATTTTATAATATATAATATTCGCAAAACATGTGAGTTAAATATTTTGCAAATTTTATAGAGTTTATAAAAGGCAGAAAAGATACTGCTAAAGCCTGGTTTGAACCCAAGGTTTGATAAATGTTTTACGAAATGTTCCAAATAAAAACATGATACATTAGGAAATTTTTTTCAACAAAATATACAATAAGAAAAAGCAGAAAGTAATAAAGTAAAAAATTTGACTCAAATTGACTCAAGACAAAAGTCAAAATTTTTTTTTTATTTTTTTTTTTAATATTCTGAAGCATAGAGAGCAAAGGTTGTATAAAATTTATCTATTTTAAAGGGACCAAGTATTGAACACTTTAACACCAGTTTTACTTTAAAGTCATCCATTGGGTCATGTGCATACTTTTGTATTTTGTTTTGTAGTTCTATTTAAGAAAAGATTTGCTGATTGTGGGTGAAAAAAAAATACTTTGTTAATGGATTTATAAAAGTTTCTAAAGAAAAAAATAAAAATAATAAAATAGAATAGAAATATGCTGCACACTCAATTTCTTGAGTGTTGAGTCAAAACTTTGCAGAGTTCGAGACTGTAACAGCTGTAACGAAACAAAATAATTGTAATAAAAATAATCGCTAATATTTAAAATATTTGTCTATTTTGTTTTTAAATTGATTGACGGTGCTTGCATCTATTGCATCTTGTTTGAGATTCTTCCATTCATTCACTACTCTATTTATAAAGAAGTTAAACTTTTTCATATTGGTTGTTAATTGCCTTCATAATTTCAAATTGTAACCCTTTGTTTTTCTTTCATTATAAATAATTTCTGGTGGACGGTAAAAATTATTTATGCCATATTATTTAAAATATTTGAACATTTGAATTAAATCTCCTCTTTTTCTTCTAGTGATAATAGATCCAGTTTTAAAAGTCTTTCTTCATAGCTATAACCTTGTAAACTTTCAATTCTAGTTTCTAGGACTTTCTCTAATTTATTCTTATCATACTGCCAGTCTGGGTTCCAAGTTGTGGCTGTGTATTCTAAGTGAGGTCTAACTAATGAGACAAATAACATCTTCATCATAATCTCATTTATATAATGGAAGACATGTTTAATTTTACCAAGTTTTTGATTTGCTTTGTTCACTGCACAGTTTAAATGATTATTCCATCCCAAATCGTCTGAAATTACAACTTTTCCAAACTTGTATTCACTAATTTTTTTGCCTTCGATCATAAATTGGAATTGTTGTTGACTATTACCAACTATCATTATTTTTCATTTTTGTTTATTGAATTTTATTAACTACTCGTTTGACCATTCTACTAACAAATTAAAATCTTGTTGTAGCTCAATTGAATCCTTTACATCTTTCATAGCTCGTAAGATTTTGTGTCGCAAGAAAATATTTTACAAATTGTTTGATTTTTTTTGTGATATGGTTAATAAATACAACAAATAAAGGAGGAGTAAAACTGAACCATTTTGGTACACCGCTTACAACCTCCTCCCATTCTGACTCAAAATTACCTCTACCACTCTCTGCGATCTGTTTTTTAAGAAGCCTCTAACCAATTTAGTACTTTAGATTCAAATCTTTTTAAATTAAATAATAATTTCTCATGGTCTACCGAGTTGAATGCTTTAGCGAAGTCTAGAAATAGAATCACCAATGCCCAACCTTGTTTTACACACAATAGATGTCAATGAAATCAGTCAAGTTAGTTGGATCAAGTTTATTATCTTTTTTAAACAATGGAATAATATTGGCGCATGACTAAAACTTAG